TTTTTTTTTTTTTATTTTTTTTTTTTTTTTTTTTTTTTTTTTTTTGTTGCTACTGCTGCATGCATTTTCTTGTGTTTGTTTTTCTTTCTTCTTTTTCCGCTTTTTCCTCCATTTATTCTTTTTTTTTTCTTTTTTTCTTCTTTTTTTGTTTATTTAATTAAATTTATTCTTTTTTTTTCTTTTTTTTTGTCTTAGAAGATAAGAAGACAGGAGAGGGAGAAAGAGGAGAAGAAAGAGGAGAAGAAAGAGGAGAAAAAGGGGAAGAAAGAGGAGGAGAAGAAGAAGAAAGAGGAGAAGAAGAAGAGAGAGGGGAAGAAGAAGAAGAAGAAGAAGAAAGAAGAGAAGGAGAAAGACAAGAAGAAGAAGAACAAGAACAAGAACAAGGAGAAGAAAGAAAACAAAAAGAAAGAAAAAGAGGAGAAAAAGAAGGAGGAGAAGAACAAAATAAATTAAATAAAAAAGAAAGAAGAAAAAGAAGAAAAGAAAAAGAAAAAGAAGAAGAAAAAAGGAGAGAAAAAGAAGAAAAAGAAAAAAGAGAAAAAGTATTCAATTTAATTGCTAAACTTGTGCAGACACCCCAATCTTGTCATAGTAATTTAAGAAGATGTTCTGTTTAATTAATTAATTAATTAATTATATTTATTTATTTATTTATTTATTTATTTATTTATTTATTTATTTATTTATTTATTTATTTATTTAGTTTGTTTAATTAGTTTAATTAATTTATTCGTTTTTTTTCTTTAATAAGAGGAGAGGTATTCCTTCCCTCTGCGGTGTACAGACAACTTATATAGGCATATATATATTTATTTATTTATTTATTTATTTTATATAATATATATTTATTATATATTATATATTTATAAATTAATTTATTATTATTTAATATTTATTTTAGTATTATATGATAATATAAAATAGAGGGGAAGGGTTTAGGGTTTAGGGTTTAGGGTTTAGGGTTTAGGGTTTAGGGTTTAGATACAATAAAAAGAAAAGAATAAAAAAAAGAAAAAATTAAAAAAAAAAAGAAAATGTTAATAAATAAAATAATTAAAAAAAGAAATTAAATTAATTATTTATTTATTTAATTTCTTTTTATTAACCGCATAAAGAAGATACAACTGCTGCTGCTGCTTCTGCTGCTGCTTCTGCTGCAGCTGCTGCAGCTGCTGCTGCAGCTGCTGCTGTTGCTTCTGCTGTTGCTGCTGCTGCATAAAGAAGGATTGCCTTATTCTTAGGTGTATATCCATACATCTAACGACAAATCAGCATCTGCTGCTCCTGCTGCTGCTGCTGTTGCTGCTGCTGCTGCTCCTAGAAGTAGCAGCAGCAGCAGCAGCAGCAGCAGCAGCAAGTATATTTACCTATTATCTCCTATATATCTTTTTCTGTTGATTTGTTCGCTCTTTTCTTTTGTATTTATAAAAGAAAAAGGAGAATTTATTGTATTATAATCTATTAATAACTCTACATACCTATAAATAAATAAATAAATAAATAAATTAATTAATTAATTAATTAATTAAATAAATAAATAAATAAATTAATTAATTAATTAATTACCTACCTATCCCTTAAGAATTTATATTGTTTATGATTAATTGCCTTATGTATTTCTTTGTCATTAATAAAATAGACTAAATAAATAAATAAATAAATAAATAAATAAATAAATAAATAAATAAACTAATTAATTAATTAATTAATTAATTAATTAATTAATTAATTACCTACCTATCCCTTAAGAATTTATATTGTTTATGATTAATTGCCTTATGTATTTCTTTGTCATTAATAAAATAGACAAATGCATCTCCGCTAAATCTTCCATCTTTTAATCTTATTAATTCTATACTATTTATATTTATTTTTTTTTCTTTTTTTTTTTCTTTTTCTCCTTTTTCTTCTTCTTCTTCTTTTTCTTCTTCTTCTTCTTTTTCTTCTTCTTTTTCTTCTTCTTCTTCTTCTTCTTCCTTATTATTATATAATTTATAATCCTTAAAGAATAAGGCTATTTCTTCCTTTGTTATATCAAAGGGTAAACCCTATTGGCACAGGCAGCAACAGCAACAACAACAAATGCAGCAGCAGAAGCAGTAGCAAGAAAAGCAGCAGCAAGATAAGCAGAAGCAAGAGCAGCAGCAGCAGCAGCAGCAGCAGCAGCAGCAGCAGCAGAAGTGTGCAGTTGATAGTATATCTACGGTATATATAACCATACAGCATTGTTTCATACTCCCCCAAGAAGAAGAATAAATAAAAATAAAATAAATAAATAAATATAAATAAATAAATATAAATAAATAAATATAAATAAATAAATATAAATAAATACATATTAATATAAATAAATAAATAAATAAATATCCTTTCCTTACTCGCATGCGTAACCTTGGTGGTCTATATCTTGTATGTTGTAAGGTGGTCATACACCGTAGATATTGATTATAAATACATTTATTTAGAGGAAATAAATGATTAAAATAATTAAAATAATTATATAATGAATTATAATTATTAAATAAACAATTTATATTCTTTTTTTCCTGTTTATACACCCCATTTATTAATAATTGGCCCCTCCTCCCTCCTCCTAATAAGAAATGCTTATTATGCAGCAAATGCAGCATTCCTTCCCTGTGTTACATTGCTTTTTATAAGAAATCTTTATCTATTTATTTATTATTTTATTTATTTTATTATTTTATTCAATTAAAAACAGAAAAAATGAACAAAAATGAAGAAAAAAGAAGAAAAATAAACTATAATGTGTAAACCCTTGGGGCTGCCAGCCAGTGCATGCAGACAGCGATCTTCTTTCCTTATAACAAGACAATTAATTAATTAAAATTTATTTATTTATTTATTTATTTATTTGTTTTATTTATTTATTTATCTTAATATTTATTTATTTATTTTATTTATTTATTTAAGGGGAATAAATTAACATAGATATCTACTTGTTTGTCTTAATAGGCATTCCTATCTATATAAATAATATTTATGCCTATATATATAATTAGTTAATAATAAATAAATAATTATTATTTATAATTAAAATAAGTAATTAATTAATTGACTAATTAATTAATTAAAATTTACTAATTTATATTTGTTTTTAGGGTCTAGGGTTTAGGGTTTAGGGTTTAGGGTTTAGGGTTTAGGGTTTAGTTAATAATAGTTACTGTAGGTTAGAGAGAAAGAAGTTCCTCGTGTGCTGCCTCTGCTGCTGCTGCTGCTGCTGCTGTTGCTGCTGCTGCTGCTGCTGCTGCTCCTGCAGGAGGCACAGGCCCTTTGTTTTATTAAATAATAAATTTTATTTTTATTTTTTTGTCTTTTGTTGCATGCATTCTTGTAGAGAGGCAGGTACAGCAGCAACAACAATAAAAACAGCGGGTGCAGCAGCAACAACAACAGATGCAGCAGCAGCAACAACAGATGCAGCAGCAGCAACAGCAGAAGGCGCAGCAGCAGCAGCGGCAGCAGCAGCAGGCGCAGAAGACGTTGCAGCAGCAACAGGAAGCTCAGCAGCCAGATGTAGCTTAATAGCCGCTTCCCCGCAGCAGCAGCAGCAGCAGCAGCAGCTATTTGCTGCAGCTGCTGCTGCACGTGCTGCAGCAGCAGCTGTTTTGCTGCAGCAGCAAGTGCAGCAATTAAGACATTTAGTAGTGTTTATATAAATCACAATAAACTAAAAAAATAAACCCCCTTCTCTTTTATTTATTTATTTATTTATTTATTTGTTTATTTATTTATTTATTTATTTATTTATATTTATTATTTAATTAATTTAATAAATTAATAATTTATTATTGTATGTTTAATACGTTTATTTATTAATGCTTATTATAGTGATTATATCAAGAAATTATTTGCTAATAAATCATCTTTTTAGGGTTTAGGGTTTAGGGTTTAGGGTTTAGGGTTTAGGGTTTAGTGTTTAGGGTTTAGGGTTTACAAAATTATTTGAATATTTAAAAGGAAGAAAAAGAAGAAATAAAATAAAATAAAATAAAATAAAATAAAATAAATAAAATTATTTATTTATATTAAATAAAATAAAAAGAGTGTCTATATATACACCCTAATTAATATAACTTTTTTTTATATAAATCCTTCTTTCCCCCTCTTCCCTCTTATAAGTAGCATATTGTATTAATAATAGATATTTATTCTTTTTTATTTAATTAATTAATTAAAATAAAACAAAAAAGAACGAATAAACCCTAAAAAGCATATAAAAAGCATAGGTCTAGGGTTTAGGGTTTAGGGTTTAGGGTTTAGGGTTTAGGGTTTAATAAGAAGAGTAAGAAAAAGGAGGAGAGGAGCAGGAGGATAATAACTGTTTGCCTTATTTTAATTAAATAATTAAATAAAAAGAATAAAAATAAAATAAATTTTAATTTTTATTTATTATTATTTATTTATTTATTTATTTTATTTTATATTTACTCAATAAAAAAGAAAAAAAGAAAAAAAAAATTCTTTTTTTGTAGCTATTTCTTGACGGATTGACTTGCACGCACAAAAGGAAGCTAAAAAATAACTTTTTATGCATAAAAAAGCACAAAAATTATAAAATAAAGAAATAAAAAGGCATAAAAAGCATTTTTATTAATTTAATTTAATTATTTATTCGTTTTTCTCCTTTTTTTCCCTCTAGGTAGCGTGAAGAAATAGTAGGAAGGAAAGCATTCCTGTACCCTGGTGTATATCGAGGTACCTTCTTGTATACCAATGGGGTATCTAGGGGTAAACTGCGGGTAAAAACACGGGAAAAAAAGCTAATTAATTGAATAAAATAGAAATGTTTAAATAAATAAAAGAAAAATAGAAGAAAAAGGATTACAAATAGTAATTTTTGCCTTTTTTGCAACTTTTGCAGCTATTTAATGCCTCACCGCGCGCTCGCCACACCCGCATAGCTGATTAGTTAGCTCCTTATAAAAAGAAGATATTCATGGCTATATTATTCATTTGTTTCTTTGCATATCTTCTTTATTTATATTTATTATTATTATTCAATTAAAAAAGAAGCATTTTATTTGCTTCTATTGGAGGAAATATCTATATATATAAATAAAGAAAAAGAAATCGATTGTAAGTGTATATATAAGTGACCTTTTCTTCCTCTTGTTCTTTTTCTTGTTGTTTTTCTCTTTATTCTCTCTTCTTCTTTATTCTTTTATTCAATTTATTTATTGTATTTGTTTATTTATTCATTTATTTATTTGTTTTTGTTTTATTCGTTTATTGTTGATTCTTTTTAGGGGTTTCTTGCATGAATAAGAGTAACTAACCATCATCTTAATTTCTTGTTTATTTCTTCTTCTTTTCTTTATATTATTATATATTTATACCTACTTTTTCTTGTATTTATTTAATTAATGAATAATTTTATTTATTTTTATATTTTATTTCCCTTTTAAGGGGAGAAACCGCCGTGGTGACCCCAACCAGCTGGCTGTGTGCGCGTGTGTGTGTGTGCTGCAGCAGCAGCAGCAAAAAAAAGCTGTTGTTGCATTTGCTGCAGCAGCATAGTTGCTTTTTCTTGTTTTTCTTTATATAATATAATAATATAATATAAATAAATAAAATATATTTACAAATGTATATATTTGTGTATATTTATTTATTTTTATTTATGTATATATATGTTGCTGCTGCTTTACAGGTCTAATAAATAATAAATAAAAAAAAAAAAAAAAGAAATAAATAAATAAATAAATAAAATAAATAAATAAATAAAAGAAGATGGCAAAATTATCTATTTCTTTCCTCCTTTTATCTTTATTACCTTTATTTTTTCTTGTATTTATATCTTCATTACATAAAAGTAATGCATATGGTAAGAATAGTGGTGCAGCAGCAGCAGCAGCAGCAGCAGCATCACGTGCTGTATCTATAGGGGAATTAGATGCATTAATTAATTCAATAAGGAATGCAGTAGATACTTCCCCTATTATTGCTTCTGCCCCTATTCCTCTTCCTTCCTCTAAGGGAGGAGGAGGAGTACTTGTATCTAGAGGTATATTTACTCCTGCTGTTGTTACGAGCAGCACCAGCTCATTTGCTGCAGTACCTGTTGTTGATGATATATACAGCAGCAGCAGCAGCAGCAAGGGAGGATATTATCCTTCTGCTTCTCCTTCTTTTGCCTCCTTTAGCCGCAGCGGCAACGGGTATAACGGCAGCAGCAGCAGCAAAGGAGGAGGTTATTCTCCTCCTGCTGTTGCTTCCTTTAGCCGCAGCAGCAACGGATACAGCAGCAGCAGCAAAGGGGGAGGATATTCTCCTCCTGCTGCTTCTTCCTTCAGTATTGCCCCTCCTGCTGCTGCATCCGTAGGAAGAAGTTATAGTAAGGGCGGCAGCAGCAGCAGCAGCAGCCCTCCTGCTGTTGCTTCCTTTAGTAGAAGCGGATACAGCAGCCTCCCCCCCAACGGTACCAACGGCAGCAGCAACGGCGGCAGCAACGGCGGCAGCAACGGCACTCTCCCTCCTTGTGGTAAATGTACATTTACTAAGGGAGGAGGCATCAGCAGCAACGGCGGCAGCAACGGCAGCACCAACGGTATAGGCAGCAACGGCAGCACCAACGGTATAGGCACCAACGGAGGCACCAGCGGGGGAGATACACAAATAGATATTGTTATTGATCAAGGAGGGGGAACAGACACCATAATTGTTGATGAAAATACTAATAATAATAATACTAATGGTGGTATAGTTGCTTCTCCTCCTCCAGCTGCTGCATCCTGTACGTATTTTTTTTTACGTATTTTTTTTCATACGTTTTTTCTTCTTTTTTATTTTTCTCTTTATTCTTTAATTCTTTTTAATTACTTTTTTTATTTTTATTACTCATTTTTTCTTCTCTTTCTTTTTATCTATTTATTTCTTATTTTTGTTTATCCATTTTATTCTATTCATTTATCTATTTATATAATAATATTGAATATAATATGCATTAAATGGCCAAATGTATTTCTTTTTTATTTAATTAAATTATATAATTAATAAATAAACTAAATAATGATAAATAAATAAATAATTTAATTAATTAAATAATATAATTAATAAATACAATTTGTTATTAATAGTATATAAACAATATCCCTTATAAATAAACCTAATAATATAATAAACTATATAATAGTAAAATGTAATAATAAGTATTAATAAAATATAAATATATATGTATTATTTATTATTAATTTATTATTTATTAATTAATAAATAAAATAAATTATTTATTTATATAATTATATATAATGAATATACACATTAAATGTTCAAATATTCTTTTTATTTAAATTATATAATAAATAATAAATAATAAATAAATTAATAAATAAATAAACTAATTAATTAATTAATTAATTAATAATAAATAAAATAAAATTAATTAATAATAAATAACTATTGTTCCTCAGTAAATAAAAATGAATAATTCTTACAAATTCGTACAAATGTATTATATTTATTTATTATTTATTTATTTATTTTATTTATTTATTTATTTATTTTATTTATTTATTTATTATTTATTTATTTATTTTTTTTGTGTGTTTTTTTTGTGTACAGTCGGTCCTCCTGCGTCATTTGCAGCACGTGCATCGCGAGCAGCACCAAGCAGCTACAGCAGCAGCAGCAGCTACGGCAGCAGCAGCAACAGCAGCATAGGTAGACAATCAGCACCATTAGTTGTACAAAGAACATATACTAGCCAGATAGGATTTCCTCAATCAACTAATCCTATAACATTTAATGTACAGCAAAGTTTTAATAGGAGGCCTGCTGCTGCTGCTGCTGCACCTCCTGCTGCTGCTTCTTTTGCTGCTGCACCTTCCTCTTATTCTTCATTTGCTGCTGCTCCTGCTGCTGATGTCGCTATACCATCTAAGAAAGGAGGAGGAATTGGAGGAGGGAACGGAGGAGGAATAGGAGGAGGGAACGGAGGAGGAATAGGAGGAGGGAACGGAGGAGGGAACGGAGGAGGAAATGGTGGGTTTTTTGCGGGTATAAATAATAATTATAATAATTATACTGGTAATATTGATGGTATAAATGGTAATAATGGCATAAATAATAATAATAATTATAATAATAATATTAATGGTATTAATGGCAACAATGGCATAAGTACATTCAGTACTAATGGTAACGGAGGAGGGTATAACAATAATAATAATTATAATAATAATAATTATAATAATAATTATAATAATAATTATAATAATAATGGTTCTTATGCGCAAAAAGGAGGAAATGTTCTTATAGGAGCAGAGGCACCAGGAGCAGCAGGAGCACCACCAGCAGCAGCAGCAGCAGCAGGAGAAGGAGCAGGTGCAGCAGCACCTAGATTATCAGGGATTATTAACTATATAGAAAGAAGACTTAGACAAATAAAACATTAATTATATTATTTATTTATTTATTTATTTATTTATTTACATATAAATATAATAAATATAAATAATATTATATTATTATATATAATATATTATATTATAATACATTATGTTATATTATATTATATTATTATCTATGAATATCCACCACGCAGTGCAGCAGCAGCAGCAGCAGCAGCTGCACCTGGTTCTGCTGCTGCTGCTGCTGCTGCTGTTGGAAGAAGAGGAATTCAACAAGCAGCAGCAGCAGCAACAGCAGGAGCAGCAGCAGCAGCAGCAGCGGCAGCAGCATCTGCTGCAGTAGCTGCAGCAGCAGCAGCTACTGCAGCAACTGCAGCGGCAGGCGCTCTCTTGGCCATCTATTGCTGTAGGAATAACAATCGTACCTGCTGCTGCTGCTGCAGCTGCCATGGCAGCAGCAGAAGCAGCAACAGGAGGAACAGCAGCAGCAGCAGGCGCCGTTAACTTGGATTATATTACTGTGGGGAGAAGAAGAGGGAGAGGGAAATTAAGGTGTATATATTAATTAATTAATTAATTAATTAATTAATTAATTAATTAATTATATTTCCCCCCTTATTATACACAGCGTAAGAAGGAACAAACAACAACAAATTAAATAAATAAATAATAAATAAAAATAAAAATAAATAAAATAAAAAAAAAAGAAAAGAAATAAACATTTTTATTTATTATTTATATTTTCTTGTTCTTGCAACTTTTATTTATATTTATGTACTTTATATGTATATACATATTATATTATATAATATAATAATATATATAAATATAAATATATATTATATATAATATATATAATA